CGACTTCGATAAATGCGAGTGAAAATCGCTTTTTTCTCTTTTACATTCGTTGATAGCCTCTAATACAATTTTTGTACCACGGCCTTTATTTTTGTTGACTTCATTTGTTAAATTCTTTACAAGGGCCACAACGTTTTCATCGCATTTCATGGCTAAAATTCCACACGAAAACAAAAGTACTTGTTTAAGTTCAACGAAATACCTTCGATCGGAAACTAGTTCTTCAAGTTTAATTTCCTTGCGTTGAATCTGAGCACAAATGAAGAATGCTGCAAAGAACTCTTGAAAACTTTTATGTAAGAAAGCATAATGCAGTGTTTGTCTCAGTTTGCTGCTACCAGGCTGCACTGACAGAAATCCAAATTCAGTCAACTCTTCTGCATGGTTTTCCAATTGAGTTTCATGAAAATCCAACTTGTCGTCAAGTAAACCATTCAACGCTACCTTTCCAAGGTGATTCAATTGCGGTTTGTAATGGTTTGTCAGGTCTTCGCTCGTTTCTAATAGCCCCTTCTTTTTTCTGTGTCTTCTCAAAACACATTCAACCATATCCAAGTACAGTTGAGTTCTGCTTTCGGCAAGTGTGCCCTCAAACTCTTCGCATAGAAGGCAAAGTAGTGCTGTGTTTAGAGGATTGGCTGCTATTTCTCTAAGGTTTTTATCTCGCGACATCCGTTGCGAGAGCTTGGTGGCTAAATCCGTCCTTTCTTTAAAGTACTTGGTGACAAATCCTTTCACATGCTTTTCAGTGAATCCTTCGATCTGAAGTAGAGTGTCACAACATCTTCTCACCTCTTTTCCAGCTTCGTGTCTTGCTGTTGCAACTAAGTGGCATCTGGGGAGTCCCCTTCCTTCAATTAATTCGCAAAACATCGACAATTTGCTGGAAGGTAACTCGTCCAATCCATCCAATATCAATAAAATACTGGCCTGATTTTCACGAATAAACTCAAAGAATTGTTGTTTGACTTCTTCATCAATGTCTCGGGGCAGAAGCTGATCATCAATAGCTTCCCAAACGTCAGAATGGATATCTCGACATTTCAGCAACAGTACTAATTTGAATACTGTTGAGCCGCAGCCCCGAGATTGTTGTTTTTTTGTGGCCCAGTCGTAGACGTACTTTTTACAATAGGTGGTTTTTCCCATACCAGGTTCTCCTTCAATCAACACTGTTCTCGGTGCTGAACACTCTTCATGCGGGTCTAGTATTGATGACATGTCAAGAAATACGTCAGTGATTTGTCCTCTCGTTTTCTTTCTTCTGACCACTTTGAGCCTTGTAAAAATATCGCCAAGAAATAACTGAAACTCTTCACACCATGGAAAGGGTGAGAGCCATCCTTCGCGAGTCTTGTAAAGCTGGCGAATTCCATTGATAAGCTCAGTAGGATCAAAGATACCTAATAGTTGCAAAAAAAGAGTAAAAAATCCTATGAATGGGGTGTTGAAAATTATGTCTTCTTTCTGGTATTCGGCACTGAATTTAAATGAGTGAACGACTTCGACACCATCGGGAAAGAAATTATTTGGACGATGCTGAGAGGTATCAGTGTATGGTTGATGTATACTGATCAAAATCCATTTAGATTATGGTTCAGTCGAACCTACTCTGTTAGTTTCTAACATCGAACTGAACGTAATACTAATGTTTGAGCTAAAACTGTGCTCTCTTTAGGACGACTGACCTCGATCTCTGCATTCTTCTGCTGAAGCCATCAGGGAAACCAGCTTTTCCTTCATCTCTTTCATTTCGTTCTCCATTCTTATAAGTGTCTCTCTCACTGAATGTTGGAATCTTCCTTTTTTATAGAGAAAAAATGTTACAAGTTAAAAAGATGCCATCATTTGATAGCTGAAAACAGACGAAAACTGGCTATCAACTACAATGTTTAGAGATTCAGTACGGGGGAAATTTTGGAGGAAAATTTCATGCCATTTTTTGCGAAGGAAAATTCACTATCTCTTGGTTGTTTGGTAGGTATTCACTGAACAGTGGCTTCCATACCCCACCCCTGATCTTACAATAGAAGCCAAGTTTTGAAGGAAAATTGCAATAAAATTCTGATGGGCAGTTGTGACCTACGCTCCACACATAAAGCATTGAAAGCAACTAAAACAGACAGTAGAGGGATGATCTCTGTCACATACTGGACATTTTGACTACTGCTAAATATCCGGTTAAGCAGGATAAATGTTATTGTATAATTCAACTGACCTTTATCCTTGATTTCTCCCACTCCGGCCGTCGAAGTACATCGCTTTTCCTTCACTTCTTTCAGTTCGCTGTCCATCTTTTCCATTTTGCTTATTATTTTCTCAAGAGACCCTTTCGTGGTATCTGACGACAGAATAGCATTAAAACTTTTTAGTCTGAGTAAGAGTCACTTTATTTATCAAAGGAAAACTCAACTAAATAGATCCTTTCCCCATCCTCTATCGTTTGCTTCTATTTTATACAAAACTCTAAAAAACTTATGGTCGGCTTCAAAGGAGTCTGACAGTAGAACTGACGGAAATACTTTGTCATAAAGTAATTTACTCGGGAGATGAATATTGATATTATTGAAGCCGATAGTCCGAATAAAATTTTTTCAGTATCCAGCGAGACTGTGCGAACTATTCAATAAAAATCAACGAACGCCATTCTGCCCTCTTTGTCGCGCGGTTTCATCAGGAAAAAATATGCCTGAGAAGTGTAGAGACCCGCCTGCGATGAAGTGGGAGGTTTTGCCTACAGTCTTTTCCTTAGGAAATGTAAAATAACCACATACATCTTATTCTAACCTATTTTACTCGAGACGATCCTCATTCAACTCTTTTCCCATGTAGAATTGAATACTCCACAATTTAAGCGACGGAAGGGTTCAGTTATTTTATTTTATTCAGAAATATGCGGATCACATCTAATGCTACTAGGTATTTGGCACTGAATTTAAATAAGTGAACGAGTACGACACCATTGCCAAAGAAATTACTTGGACGATGAAAAAGGTATCAATGTATGATTCATGTTAATTTACTGACCAAAAGCCAGTGGAACCTGCTCTGTTAATTTCTAACATCGAGACGACCTTAATGCCAATGTTTTCGTTAAAACTGTAGTTTATTTTTATTTCGTTCTCCACTCTAATGAAAATACAAACTAACACAGCCCTCATTCAGAAATATTTTCCATGTAAAATGGAATACTCCACAAAAAATTTGAGTGGAGGAAGGATTGCATTAGTCTGTTCAAGAATATGCTGGTAAAAGTTAGATTCATTATGTCCTTAACAAAATTAAAACTAAAATAAGGCAATAACACTTGTCGGCCAAATGTGTATGAGTGCTGTCAGAAAGCTATCCAATCTGGGAGGCAGCCTGAGATTCCGTGCCATCCCATTCATCCTACACATTACCTAGTATCTTCATTTGTAGCCAGACTAGGTTTAACTTAGTAGCCAAGGTGTGCTCTTACAACAAAACATTACCTAAAAAGTGTTAAATTGGCCGACACAAAGCGAATAATGTGGTCATGCTCAAAAGATATGTTATGTACTCGAGTTAATGGAACCCCTGTTGATAGTTCAGTTTATCTGTGAGTAGCTATTTCTAGCAACCAACCTTTATCTGTGCTTTTTCCCACTCTGGTCGTCAGGCTACAAAGCGTCTCTTTAACCTCCTTCATTTCAATCTCTATCTTCTCAGTTGTGTCTCTGAGGTCACGTAGCGAATCTGCATTAGTAAGAAAGATAAGCGCAATTTCATAAGCACATTTACATCACAGATTCACGTTTAGGTGCAGATAAACGATGATACCTATGTCAATATCTACTCGATTCCGAAGGGATCAAACTCAATAAGACGCCTAGAAATCACAAAAAATGCACTCCAGTAGTTGAAAACGAGTACCCACGAACAGACAAAAATACTGGCAATGAAAACACACTGTGGACATTTGGGTTAATTCTTAGTTTTTCACACATAACGCCAGATTAACGTTCCAAATATGTGACTAGTTCCAACCAAAATTAAAACATTATGAGTTATACTACACTGCTGTGTTTCATTAGGCAAAAAAAAAACACGCAAAGGAAACCTAGAGACCCGTCTGCAATGGAGTAGGAAGTTCTGCCCGCAGTCTTTTCCTCAGAAAATGTAAAATAACCACATGCATCTTATTCTGACCCATTTTACTCGAGACGATCCTCATTCAACTATTTTCCCATGTAAAATTGAATACTACACAATACGACCGGAGAAGGGATTTGGTTATTTTATTGAGAAGTACGTGGGTCACATCTAACGCTACTAGGAAGTTAGATTCATCATGAGAAAGATGATGCGAAAAAAAAGAACGATAACCTATCTCGCCTAAGATCATACATATGTATGAGTGCTGTCAAAACACCATCAAATCCGAGAGGTAGCCAGGGCAGAATATCTCACATTCTGTGGCATCCAACACATTATAGAGTATTTTCATGTATGGCAAGTGTGAGTGGTGGCCAGGGTGTGCCCTTAGATCAGTAAAG